AGCGGAAAGGGAATTCTTATCAATAATTTGATAAAGCTTTTCGAAGTGATCCTTAACAACAGTCGCATTAGCCCTCTATGCACGTGCTTCTGACAATTCTTGTGGAGTGCAAAATAACAGCTCAGGATGATCTCTCATAAAACGTATCCACCAATCTTGATCCAGCCCACTATCTTTAAAAGGATATTGTTGACTGTTTAGTTTCAAGATTTCCATCACACAATAATTAACACCAGATCTTGTCAAACCAAATCCAAGCTTTTATATATTGATGCAATAGCCACAATTTGATTCTCTTTATGTTCAGTAAGAATAGTTGGTGGACCTGAGCAATTAAGAGGGCCACCATTTTTTACAGTACGTCTAAAAGTGGCTTCTGAAAGTCCAAAATTTTTTGCGACACTATTTATACTTAGATGTTTGGAATTGATAACATCAAGTGTTGCGCAAATAGTATCACGTCGATTAATATAAGAGATTGGTGGCATGTATTGTAAAATTATGATAAGATAAATTAAATTTTGATGCATAATAAAATTAAGAGATATTTATATGATATATGGCTCCTTATTTAATATGATATGTAAAATAAATAAATAAATATAGTGCTAAACTTAATATATCCGTCACGTATCCATCATGTATCTGTTGCATACCTGTCGCGTACCTGTTATATTTAATATTAAAAAAGAAAATGTATAATTTAAAAAAAAATTTTTTTATTTCTAATTAAACATTTTAGCTTCCATCACTTGATATTATTAGTAAATCATTATAATACTTAGTAAGAGTCTTATTATTACATATAATCAGTAATTCGTCATAATACCCCTATTCGTCATAATACCCCTGTCTCCTTTATATATTTTTAAATCGCTGATCTCCTTGCCAATCCAAAAAACAAATATTCTCAAAAATATTTTTATTTTTGATAACAAAGTCTATATACTCTTCTTAAAAACATTACTTTTTGAAGGCTGGTGCCTCCCCTATTTGTTTATTCTTCCTTTTTCAAAAAACTTTGGATATTCCAGTGACAGAATAAACAAAACTTTATCTATATGATCTATGGCAAGAACATCTTACTGGGAAGAAAAAACCTATAGAAAAACATTCTCTACTATTTTCTCCTTAGGTTAGGAACTTCAGAAAGTGAACCACTAGCAAATACATTTCCCAAGATTCATAAGAATCTTGGATCCATTATAAGTAAACACCTTGGGCTGAGGCAGGTAGATAAGCTAGTTGGGCCTATCAATGAATATACTTCCAAGTAACATGGGAACTTTGGATCCACCATAAGTAAACTCCTTGGTCAGGCAGGTGGATAAGCTAATAGGAGTTTATCGCCTGAATGTATAAACCTTTTCTACCATTCATATATGTTGATAGATAGTATTTTCAAGTGTGTTCAATTTTTTCTTGATTTTTCTGAGGAATTTTGCCTACCTCAGTTTGACCCTGAATTTTTTGTTACACTGAAAACTCCAGATGATAATTGGTTAAAATCTTGAATTGGTTAATCAACAAATAAAAAAAATGTAAACAAGACATATACCCACACGTGCCTATATTATATTACATTAAAACTGATAATATAATTGAATAAGCGAAAGAGCAAGATGTCGAGGTGTCCTCTTGATAAAAAATGTTTGAAAGTCTTCCCTCTCTCTTCTTGTACCAATTTCTTTTCTCCTCAAGGTCAAAGAAGGCTCTTATTAGGTTAATAATTGGTTTTGATGGGGTTTTTATATTATCAACGCAAACTTTTCTCCTTCTTCTTTATCCTTTCCATTTATCTTCTTAAAAAATATAAAAATTTTTATACCTTTGGACCACAGAGATTAAGTTAAGATGAATAGTCTTGAAGGGCTGGTGATGATATTGAGATTCACAAGGAACATGAGTCAAGATAGAGCAACTTTTTTCATTTCTCTTAATCACATCTAGAGGCTATTAGTTGTTGATAAGTGTGTCATATAAAGTTAAAAAGTTTAATTTATAGTATAGATCTGTCAGACACTAGATTTGTTTACCCATTTGTATCTGGAATCAGTTTGAACTCAATAGTTTGTAAACTAATTCGAATACAAATAAAACTTCAATATACAGCCTAATTAGGTATAAAATATATATATATATATATATATATATATTTTAAACTTTTAATCAAATTAAAGTCATTTATTTATTAAATAACAGTAAATTATTATAATTGTATATATAAATCTTCTCATTCTAGCTTATCTGTTTATAATATTAAATTTCTAAATATGATTTGTGGAAATAATATATTGCTTATCTATAGGACTTCAAAAAGTACCAAACTAATATTAAAGTGATATTGAAATAGTATTAATTTATAATAAATTTTAATATATGTATTGTGATCCACTTATATGAATTTATAATAAATTTAAGTATTAAACTGGTATCAAATAGATATCAAAATAGTATTATTAAGAGCCCTATTTATCTATTAATTGAAATTAAGATTACTTTTGTTTAATAGAGTTATAGCTTGCAGATCATCTTTACAAATTATATATTATAAATTCAAATTAAGTTTTATTATATTTTATAAATTTATATATAGTATTAGTTCTTTAACTTTATTTATTTTATCAATATATTTTTTTAAATTGGATATTATTATTTTTCTTTTTTTCTTTTTTTATCTTTGATTACTTAAGAACTGGCTTTTGAAAATACTTGATTTTTTTGAAAGTCCTTATGACAATTTTCTACATTTAAATTGTTTTAAGATTTTTTTCATTCTTAAGCTTAAGTTCTAAATTTGATTAGTTATTACTATAATATTAATCTATATTTCCAAGTTATCTTTCTAAAGTTTTTTTGGAAGTTTAGAATAACTTTATAAAGTAGCTATTATATTTTAAATTAAATAACTTTTTTTATATTTATTAGATTTTAAACTTTTATAGTAAAGTCTTTAGTATTAATTAAATTGCAAAATTTAGTTTCTTTTTTTTTTTAAAGATTTTTTTTGAGTCAGGTGAAATATAGATAATTTTATATTAATGATATATAATATATTTGGCAAATTTCCAATAAGTTTTTTAAAGTTCTTTTTAAACTTTTTCATAGTATAAATTAAACCTTGCTGGTGAATTTTTCTATTGCTAAGCATATAAAAATATGGTTACTGTTTCAAGCTCTATATTGTAGACTTTGCAATTGTTATATACTAATATAATCAAGATTTTTTTGTTTTGAATTTGTTTAGTATTCATAGTTCATTTATATTGGTTTGATTCAAAAACTTTTCTTTTATATTTTTTAAAAGAATATAATTAATTCATTTAGTTTAAGATTACTTTAAAATTATTTTCAAATATATTTTTCTTATTAATCAATTTAATAATCAAGTAGATATTATATTCTTTTTGTTTTAGTTTATATTTTCAAATTGATTGTTTTGTTAATTTTTTAATAAAATTCTTGAGAGCTATATTGATTGTCTTGTTATATTAGGTAACAATTATTTATATATATATGTTGCTTATTGAGTTTATTTAATTGTTGATAATTAGAAGGCTTGTTTAATAAATTAATCTATATGTTTATTAAGTATATTATTAGAGTGTATTTTGACTTTCTTAAAACTAAGTCTAATATTTTTTTTATTTAGAATTTTAAGAATGTTGTATTAAATAGATCAATTATTAATTTTAAGTTATCTTTTATAAGTCAGTTTAAAATTAGCTTTGAATATTAGGTTAAAGTTATTGATATAGCTTTGATTGTCTATATAAATAATTACTTCTTTATTTCTTGGGATTGTAACAATTGTTATTAGTATTGTTGTAATTTCTGTTTTGTTTAATTATAACCAATCTTAAACTTTACATTAAAAGTTATTAAAAGATATAGATCTTTGAATTTGTATTTAAACAATATTTATTTTGATCTTTTTTCTTTTTGTTTCTCTACTTAAAAGCAAATCATCTATAAAAAATTTATATAAATAGATCAATTGATTATAAAATAGGATTGTTAAGAATTTATTATTAAATAAAACTTTTATAAGGTCTATTTTATAGCCTTCTGATATAATTATTTGTTTAATTAATTCTGTGTTTCAATTAATTATTTGAATCTCTTGTAATTTTTCTCATTTTATACAATTGATTGTTATTTTTAGCATAACTAATACTTGTTTTTCAAGTATATAGAGATTACAAAGAATTAATATTTCTAGAATTTTGTTATTGCTATATATGTTTTTAAGAAATTACAATCTAAAATGTTTTTCCTTAAAACTTAAAATATATACAGATTGTTTAATATTGTTTAAGTAATAATATTAAGATTACAAGTAGATTTATAACAAGTTTTAAAAAAAGTTTGTTTTAATTTAAGTGCTATATAGCTGTAATAAGAGAATTTAATTAATTTATCTGTTGAATTGTTTTTTTACTTATATTTTTTTCTATTATATTTTATTTTATTTGTTTTTAAAAATATACTATTTCTTGATTCTTTCATTTGATAAAACTTTGTTAAACCAGTTTAGGTTGTTTTCTTTTTATAATAGAGTTTTTCAATTATTATTAAACTTGTATTTTCTATTAGTCATAATTTTTTTCAAAGTATATTATACTATTGTAAGTATATTCTTCTTTTTTTTTTATAGGCAAAGTGTATTACATGTGAGACTTTTTTATTAATTATTAGAATTATTTTTGTCATTATATGAAAGATCTGACTAACTATTTAACTAATCTAATTCTAGCACCACCTATTATAACCCAGTTATACTTACTTACACCCAGAAGATGGATCCATATGTTGGGTAGAAAACTTTAAGGAACCTTGGTTTCCAATTTTGAATGGTTATTGGTGGTAAGCATATTAATTGTCACTAAGTTCCTTATTACTTTACACCTCAAGCTCAAGCATCCATAATACTTATGGTCTTGTTTTCCTATACTTCTTGGTAAATGCTTTGAGAGTTATTCCTATAATTGATATATACTATCAAATCTGGGAGCTCAGTTGCTGACCAAGTGAGATATGACTCTATTGTAGGCATATTCTTTGTTTGATCCTAAAAATATTAATTTAATAAGATTTCAGTTTAGTAATATTTCAAGTTTTGTATCTATTAAATAATTTATATATATTAGTTGGTTTTTTTTAAAAGATTAAATAAATTTTTTATATAAGAAATTATTGTTTAGTCTATTTTTAAT